GGTTACAACTTCAGAAAAACCCAGTCTCCTACCACAAACTGCCTTTCTGTCCTGTGTTTGTCAGCAAATACTTTCATCCTATTTTGAGCCTAATGCAAGTGCTCTTTGATCCTGTGAAGCATTTGGGCTCTTGTCTGCAACATGTCATGAGCTACTGGTATTAATGTATCATGGTAGGGTCCCAAGGGTAGTGGCAAAGGCTTGTAACCATAGAGAGCCTCGAATGGAGAAACTCCCAAGCTCATGTGGTATGCAGTATTGTACCACAGTTCAGCTAAACTGAGCCAGTGGCTCCACTGAGTTGGACTCTCACTGGTCATGCATCTCAAGTCGGTCTCTAGACATTGATTCAGTCTCTCACTCTGACCATCAGTCTCAGGACGGTAGGAAGAACTATAGTGTAGTTCGGTTCCAGCCATCCTGAACAATTCTTGCCAGAAACCATTAGTGAATACCCTGTCTCTGTCTGTTATGATGGACTCTGGTAAACCATGGAGCTTATAGATATTATCTAGGAAGACTTGTGCTACTTGGGCAGCTATGAAAGGATGGGAAAGTGGTATAAAATGACCAAACTTTGTCAGTCGGTCTACTACTACCAGAATAGTGTCAAATCCCCTAGAAGGAGGTAATTTCTCAATAAAGTCCATAGTAATATGTGACCAGGCCTGAGTAGGAATTGGTAGAGGTTGAAGTAGCCCTGGATATGGCACTCGTTCATTTTTGTTCCTTTGGCAAACTTCACATTCCTGTACGATCTGTATGATATCCTTCTTTATTCCTGGCCAATGGAATATGCTGTACACCTTCTGTAGGCAAGCTCTTTGACCAGAATGCCCCCCAATGGGGGACTCATGTAGAGCCTTGATTATTTTCTACCTAACTCCCCTGTTATTTCCCACATACAGCTTCCTCTTGTATCTGAGTATCCCTTGATTGAGTTGAAAATCAGAGTCTTGTGGTGTAGGATCTAGCAGTAGTTGACTCATCAACTCCCTGCACTGTGTATCTTCAAAGTAGCTATCTTGTAGCTCTTGCATCCATAAAGGTTGAACACTGGTAATGGCCATCAACTGTTGTCGTGCAGGCTGCTGATCCAACATGGTCCTCCTAGATAGAACATCAGCAACAGTGTTCTCTGATCCTTTCTTATACTGGATTTTATAATCCAATCCTAACAGTTTTGTCAACCACTTGTACTGAGTAGTAGTCGTGAGCCTTTGTTCCAGTAGAAATTTCAGGGATTTGTGATCTGTTCTAATAATAAAATGGTTCCCAATGAGATAGTGCTTCCACTTTGTTACTACAAAAACTAGTGCCATCAACTCCTTCTCATAAACAAACAGCCCCATGTTCATGAGAGAGAAGGCCTTGCTGATGAAGGCTATTGGGTGACCCTCCTGTAAGAGGACAGCTCCCATGCCGTGCCCACTTGCATCAGCCTCTACTACAAAAGGGATACTAAAATTGGGCAGTCTTTACACTGGGGCACTACTTATGGCCTGCTTGAGGTGGTTGAAGGCTTTGTCAGAATCAGCATTCCAGTTGTAAGCATCCTTTTTCAGTAGATTGGTCAATGGCTTGTTGATGGTTCCATAGCCTTTTATGAAACGTATGTAGTAACTTGTGAGGCCTAGGAATCCCCTAAGTTCTTTAACATTCCTGGGAATAGGCCATGTCTGGATGCACTCCACCTTGCTCATGTCCATACTCACCCCTCTGCTAGACACCACATGTCCCAGATACTCCATCTTTTGCTGAGCAAATGAGCATTTGGAGAGCTTAGCATATAGCTGGTTGTGTTGAAGCACCTCCAATACTTGCCTGAGATGCTCCTTGTGGAGATCCAGAGTAGCACTGTAGACCAGAATATCATCGAAGAAAACCAGAACAAACTTCCTCAGGAATGGTCCAAAAATCTGATTCATTAATGCCTGAAAGGTTGCTGGTACATTTGTGAGCCCAAAATGCATCACCAGGAACTCATAGTGTCCCCGATGAGTTTGGAAGGCAGTTTTATGAGTATCTGCTACCTTAACTCTGATCTGGTGGTATCCTGACCTCAGGTCAATCTTGGAAAAGAACTTGGCTCCATAAAGTTCATCCAGGAGTTCATCAATGTTGGGGATAGGATATCTGTCCTTAACTGTTTGGTCATTGAGGTGCCTGTAGTCCACACAAAAACGCCATGTATTGTCTTTTTTCTTGACCAGCAGCACAAGTGAAGCATATGGACTATTGCTTGGCTTGATAATTCCAGATTTTAACATGTCTGCTACCTGCCTTTCAATCTCTGCCTTCTGTGAGTGAGGGTATCTGTATGGTTTCATTTTAAAAGTTTGTACTCCTGGCTTAAAAGGGATTTGATGATCCAAAGATCTGTTGGGGCGCAACTGAGTAGGCTCCTGAAATACTTCTGAGAATTGCTCCAAAACAGCAGTAATTGATCCAGGAATTCCCTGGTTGGTTGTGTCATTCTCTCCAGTTTCTGCTGCAATAACACAACACCTCCTCTTCTCCTGCAAGAGGCCTCTGAGATCTTTCCTTGTAATAAGCTCCATGGTTGCATCATTAACTGCCCCATGCAATGTAACCACCTCCCCTTGATAAAACATAAAAATTTTTAGTTGGCGAAAGTCAAAGGTGATGGGGCTATAGTTGTGCATCCAATCTACCCCTAGGATTAGGTCCCAATCACCTAATTCCATTATCCTGAGGTCAAAGCAAAATTTGTTGTTCTGAACATTCCACAGGACCTCTGGACAATGAGCTCCACTGGTTACCAAGCTTCCATCCCCCATGGTGACAGTAAAGGGCTTGACATACTCAAGGGGAATGCCTTGTGCAGATACCAACTTGTAGTGGATGTAGCTATCACTGCTACCTGTATCCACTAATATCCTAACAGGCTCTCCTGTCAGTTGCCCTTGCAGTAGGATAGTATTTCGCCTAAGGGAGTCTAATAGAGCATTTAGTGAAATTTCAACTGGTTCACCTGGATTTCCAGTCAGTTCATCTTGTTCCCCTTGAGCATCTTGAAACTCAGTGTCCTACTCTTCTTCATACATCATAAGGTTCAAGTGTTTCATCCTGCACTGATGCCCTACCCCAAACTTCTCCCCACACTTAAAACACAGTCCATTGCTCTTTCTGAACTGTAGTTCTTGAAGAGATAACCTCTTAAACTCTGGGCTTCTATCTGGATTCTTGGGAGCTACTTTGGGGATGCTGTTCTGAGGTAACTTGTATGCACTGACTCCCCCATTGGCAGAGGTTGGATGCCTGTACATCCCAAACTTGGGTTCAGCCATTACTCGGTTGCCATCCTTGACTGTCCTCCCCTGTAGCTTGAGAGCCTGTTCCTGCAAATAAGCCACCTTCATGGCTCCAGAAAGAGTATTGGGCTTAAGCATTTTCACCATAGGCTTAAGTTCTTCCTTGAGATCACTGGTGAAACTGGAAATGAAGTACTCCTCACTAAGGCTTGAATTCTGAATTAGCATCAATGTCTTTAACTCCTCAAACTTTTCCTGATAAACCTCTACGGTACCTATCTGTTGTAGTTTATTGAATTCCTCTACAATATCTCTACAGCATGATCCTTTGAATCTCTGACAAAGCAGCTCCCCAAATTCCCCCCATGTTAGTCTAGGTTTTTCCAATTTGATCCCCTGGAACCAATTATCAGCTCTTCCTTCCAAAAACATTTCTACTATAAGCAATTTATGTTCATCAGACACTTTATTTAGCAGGAAGTATTTGTTGCATTTTCTGACCCATTCCCTAGGGTTTTCACCACTAAATAGATGTAACTCAAGTTTTGGAGGATTATAGCCAAGAATCTTACCCAGGAACTCGCAACTTTTTGTTTCCCCATCTGCTCCCAAGCTCAACCTCTGATGACTGGGAGGTGTGGGTAGTAATGGAGCACGATCCCTTCCAGCTCTACCTTCTTCTTCTGAGATCTTCTCCTTGACCAGTAGTGACTTCATCATCGAACTGAGAGCCTCAAACTTCTACTTCATTCCCAGAGTGATCGTATCCAGTCTCGTCCCTGCCTTCCATTTCCTCCTTTACTTGTAGCTGCATGTTCTTCATATCCTTCACAATTTCCTGTAACTTGAGTTCCTGCTTTTGGAGATGATCTTCTAAGGTCTTGAAGCGCATGCTTTCTGCCATTTGTTGATCTCTGAGCTGCCGAAGGATCGTCAGCTCTGATACCAATTTGTCAGGCCCTTCCAAAGCAAGATGAAGGAAAGAATTGTGATTGGAAGATTTGGGGAAAGTTTGAATGAGGGAAGAGCAGAAAAATGAGGGAAGAGTGAGAGAAAGGGGAAAGAGAGAAATAGAAATTTAGGGGTGATTATTGTGAATGTATTTCTTGTTATCCAATCTATCCAATTGCTTGGATTTATACAGCTCAATTGGTCCGAACCTTTCTCGCACGGAATTTCCGTGCACGGAGCTTGATTCCAACCGAATTCAGTTATAACGAAATCTAACAACATTTGGTCCCACCTAAACTAATTACGCTAGCGCCCTTGAGACTTTATATCTGATTACAATTGGGTCCCTGGTTCTGATATTTAACTAATTACGCTAGCGCCCCTGAGACTTCCTATCTGATTGCAATTGGGCCCCTGGTCCTGACAAAATTATTCAAGGCTCAAAAGCAGCAACCACATCCTGAGAGCATGTTCCACCAAACTGAAACTGTAAACTACGACATGCCAATACTACTTGGGGAAGGAATCACCAGTGCCGCCTATTACAGACCCGAAATAAGGCGCGTTTTCTTCTCTATCTGGAAATAAATTACAATATAGAAAAACTAGAAATTGTACACTTGGGAAAAACAAAAAACAAAAAAAGCAGCCTCAGTGAAGGGACGCGACCAAGGGAAAAAGTGTCTCTTTCAGTCATCCATTCCCTCGCTTAACCCTACCAACCCTCACTCACTCCAATCTTTCCCCAAAACTCAGCCCCATCCCATCCAAGCTAAAAAATAATAGCCACAAATGATGGAACTCAGTTCCTCTAAGAAAAGAAAATCAGTCCATTTTTCATCTCATTCTTTTCCTCAAGTTTCTGGGAGGTGGAAGCCAAGCTAATTAAAATGTTCTGCCGCACAAAAATGGCTGTAGCTCCAGTCCAGAACTCACTCCAACTTTACCCTGTCGACATCGGTCATCACGCCTTCAAGCTGTAAGAGAACAGGCATCAGCATGCAAACTACAGGAAAGTAACAGGTACGTTTTATGAGCATCAGTTGAGATGCAAGTACCTTGACAATTTGACGCAGAAAATAATCCCCATACCGCTTAGCTGGTTTAGATTCTATAACATGAATCATGTCCTAAAACCAAAAAAAACGCATCAGATAGATGAGCAGAAAGCTATAGTTAACACGCATTTGACTTCTAAATGCTTCAGAGTTTAAACAAAATGGGCTCTAAATAAATTTTGATGGTCTTCAATTAGAATTGTGCCATTCACTAGATGTCTCTCTGCAGGTTCCAAAACTTCAATTCATGATCCACCACAAATATCCAAGACAGTGAAATGTAGACTGCAGTAATATCGGTCTTCCTGGTGAGCATACTTGCACGCCACATGAGGCTGCGACCACCTTGAACTCATTTTCACTCAATTTGGCTATGCTCAATGCATACTCAACAATAAACAACCTCAATCTAAACCAAGTTCAGGACCATGGGGCTAGGATGGAATCAGTGAGCAAATTTGAGTTGAACCGTCAAGCTTAACAGCTATACAACCATAACAAGCTCAGGCTTATAACATCAACTAGACTTTATACGATCATAACAAGCTCAGGCTTATAACATCAACTAGACTTTCTGTATAGATGCAGGAACAGAACATGTTGTGCCTGCATGGCTTGACCTCCAAAATGGCAAGTTGAACCCTAATAAATGCCAAAGCTCAGGATGCCTATAGGCTTCAGATTGTGTCAGTGCCCACAATTCACTGACCAAATTTTGCTACTAAACAAGCTTACCCACTATACTATCTAATTCGTTCAAAATGGTTTGCTCCGAGATTTAACCATTCTTTCTTAATTTTAAATGCAACAGGAATGGATGTGTCAAGGTATGTGCATAGGACAAAAGCGCAACACTACATCCAGAGTTACAACTTACATCATCTACATAAAAGTCAACATCAGCATTGGAGCTGATCTTTCCATCAGAATCAACAGCGTGTGTTTTGTGCTTATGCTACTCTTGAATTTAGCTGAATTAATTTATATAAAAGTTGGTGTTTGTAGCGTCTTGCTTGGAATTAATCTCATTCTATTGATTGTTTGGCAAGTCTTTTTGACTTGGGTTTGCCCTTGTGTTTTGAGTTCTCGGATAATTTCATTCTTCAAGCGACAAAATACAATGGGAATACTGTGATTTTACTAATGGAAAAGAAGAGGTAAAGACACTTGTTTATGGCATTTACATTTTGCATTCTTTTTAACATCTGAACCTGCTCCAACTTCCGAAAAGCAATCCCAGAATGGCTGAATCCCTTCTAAGATTTTTGTAGATTTTTTTTTAAAAAAAAATTTTGGGCGAGTGCAAATAAAATACTACCACAAGTTTGAGAACCAGCGAGATTTCTTATTTGTAGAATTTCAATTGTTAGTATAATCTTTGAATGCTCTAATATATGGGAACTTGAAAGACTATAGTACAAGAAGGAAGTTACATAATCTAGATCATAAAGGAACTTGAGAACTACATTGGTCTCAAAATCCAGAATCTGTACATAGAACAGTTGAATAAGATAGAGCCATTCAAGTTTTACTTTTTCATATGATGGTTGTGTACAAAGACAATTCAATGGAGTCAAATCAAAGAAAGAACATCTTTTTCCCTTAGTTTCTCAATTTTTTGACTCTTTGTTGCTCTCCTCCTAGGTAGAGGGGTGCTCAAGATTAGCATCTCATCTACTCAAAGAACAAGCAAAAAAAATGCTTGCGAAGGGCAGAGCTAGTAGGGACACAAACTGTTACCGGAAAATCATTGATCATCTTCCTTGGAATTTATTACAACACCACCTGTAATTAATTTGAGTAAAAGTAAGAAGTCCAATTACACATAGCATGGAAACATGAACTGCATGAGCCAAGGAAATTGTGACTTCATCCCTTCTTGGGCATGGCTGCAAGCCTAGTGTACATTCTCGCCATTGACTGATATCCCCTGATATCTCCAGAACGAAGGAGATTGCCTAAACCAAAGCAGACACAACGCATCAGTGTTGCTTTAAAGCACACCAAAATTCGACTGCTCTAGCAAGGAATAGAAGATAACATACTCAAAAGCTAAGAAAATCATCCATGTGAGACAAGAATTGTAGCCTGATATATTGTGTCTGAAACAAGAAAATTGTATGCAGTTTCTCCATTTCAAAATGGAAGTCCTTGTTTAAGTCAAAATTTAAAATTACTGAGTGCAAAAATGTAACAGCAGTACTGCGCAAGTACTTTTCTCAATGATTATTAAGAGACAGTAGTAAACATTGAGGACTAACAAAGTAGATAAGCGAATTGAAACAGAGTAAGATTACATTATTGTTTTTCACATGAAAAATTAAGCAAATTAAGATTTTACAGTTACAATTTTCCACTTGAAAAAAAAAATCAACGTTAATTCTGTTATTGACCAAATTCAGGAAATCTTATTCACAAGTATCATTTAACTAACAATCAGAAGGGACAATTTCAGGCAAAACTTGCCTTGATTGGACCTGACCCGCATTAAATTGAAATAGATGTATTGATTCTTTATCATTATAATGCATACTGGAAAAAGTCAATAAGACATTCATATTTCACCATTCTTTCACCATCTTACTTCATGGAATGTAAAAATACAATTTTCAAACTATATGATCCAAAACACTAGTGGAGTACAGATAGAGAGACTTATGATGTAGTTACGAGGATTATCCTCTGAGTAAATCTATCCGTGTTGATATTTACTAGAACTCTTCTACAGTTTTGCTCTAAAAAAAAAAAAGGATCCAAAACATTCCAGATTCTCGCAACACCATTAACCACTTTAGTTTCCACCTAAAACCACAAATGACTCACAGAAGCATATAAGCCAAGAATACTCGCTTTGGTCTCCTTGAATATGAGGATCATACTTGGAAGACCAATCAATATGTCGACAAAAGATGGCCTAAGGTAAATTTAAGATGCAGCACTCTGATTCCAAACATTTACTCACTAGAGGTGTACGGGCATTCGCTAAGAGTTACTCGTATAAATACAAAAATAGTAACAGATCCAAGTTTTGTATTTACATTTACAGACTGTTGTTTTGGGACCAAAAATAAAAAATAAAACCAGCCATACAGCTGAGTGATTAAATTCGATTTTTTCCAAAGATACATGATATCTTGGAGAGAGAAAAAAAGGTCCCAGGGCAAACTTGGTAACATCAGACCCTCAAACGCATTAATGCCATTTCCAGCCATCTTGATGTCTCCCATACGCAATTGTAATGCAGAACCAATAGTCAAAACTTATGTGGCAAGGGGTACAATGTATACACACACACAAAGCAGCTATACATGCAAAAGTTTTAAACCGTTGAGACAGTAACTTTACAAATGAAATTAAGATGTCAAGTGCATGGTAATTTCCACCTGAGTCACACTGTTTTGAAACAGAATGAATTCTCTAGATCTTTGCCTAGTAAGGCGGATCTGGCGACATGAGTCAAAATTTTTATTAGCTAAACAAGATTCACAAGGACAGGTAACTTAAAACCAGGTAAAAAAAAATACAAAAATGCTGTCAATACCTGAATCGCAGTTTAGAGGGCTATCCGGTTCAGGATGAGCCATAAGAGCAATTATAGCCCTACAAACAGATTGTAGTGTCCAGGCAGGACTCCATGCATTCTTCAAGATATCAAGGCAAATCTCCCCTGTCTGAATAAGAGCAAAGATATCATCAAGCGTCAACTAATTCACCATATCAGTATCATCTAACTAAGTACTTTCTTAATCATTATGTACTTTTTTCAACTAAATTGTTTTAATGAAAGTCAAAGAAGTCCTTTACTTTTAATTCTTCAAAGAAAAAACCAAAAGACTACCTATTATGCTGATCTAGTACATAGCTACTGGAACAATGAACAAAACCACACACCACCTAGTCTCAATCTGTAATAGCCATATGTGCGGGCACAGATGAGGCTACAGGTGGACAGCGTCCTAATTCTATAGTTTGACATTTAAACTTTTTTAACTCCCCATATCTGTTTTTTCCAATTACCGGATTAAACTAACTAGAATTCTTGTTCTGTCTTTTGCTAATTTATCACACAGAACCACCAAACTTTGTCCTGAGTCCTGACTTTTTAATCATAATACTTTTCATGAAAAGGAACAATAAAGAAATTCACTACTCCAAGCCACTTGAGCACGTGCACTATAAGCTATTCAAGCTCAACCAACAAGATAACAGTTAAATTAAGTCGAGCTTAATTTTTCCTTTCCAAACATATTGATGGCACATCCACAGAAAGGTAATTACTGAGAGAAAGACAAAAAAAATAATAATAAATGCTGCAGTTGGTATTAGCAGGAATAACTTCCCATAAACCAGCTAATTCTAACTGCAAAGCAACATTATGAGAAGATAGGTGAAAAGATTCAAACCTTAAAATGTACATTAGGATGGAATATTTTGGTCAAGAACCTCACTTGCGGTGGCTGCAAAGGATACTGCTCCGGCACTGAAAATGCTAACTGGAAAACTCCTCCCTCAAAAGGAGTCTCAGATGGACCCTAAAATTAATAGCACACCAGACAAAAAGGAGGGAAAAAAGGATGATTTCACCAGCAGAACACAACTCTTTACCGTAAAATCCAAGTAAGAAAAAAACAAGAAAGGTGAATAAAAAAATGAAATAGTTTCATCCAAGACTCGCATACTTTAATAAGAGCATTCCACTTAAATATATTTGAATCATCACAAACTAGTTGGATATCTGGATCAGCTGATTTCTCTCTCTGCACTTCTTTGTACTCCTTGAATAGCCTTGCTCTTGATGCCTATTTGCAAGAGACAATTCAACACAATGTGAAACCAATTAAAATGGAAAAGTACAATAACTAAAGCAAACAGAACATAAAAAGGTTTACCAGCATGACCCCAAAACCACACAGTAGAATTTTAATCAATTAATTGGGTCTATTGGCATTGTGCTAACTAAATAACAAGTCTCAAACCAAACAAAGAGGCACAGAAGGGTTTTGGGGGGAAGTAAACAGGAGAAGAATACTTATGGGTTTTATCACTTTATCTGACTAAAACTTAACTGCAACAAAACGAGGGGATACTGTGTCAACAAAACAACACCTTCTGACAGAGTGCTACTGCTAGTAACAAAAATTTTCATTGTAACTAAATTGTTTCATTAAGAGCAGTTGCTCAATTTTACATGTAGCAGAAAAATAACTTGTTTAGTGATATGCTATACAACTTCTCAGTTTAAACCTCATTTTAATACACATTCTGCGTTGATTCAGAAAAATACATAAAGAAATCTATTTCCAGAAAAACAGTAGTGTTGGTAAGAGCGTTGCTGTCACAAACCTGCATCTTATCTGAAAGTCAGTAGCCAGATATGATCCAATATCTGTGGGCATGGAACAAAAAAAAAATTAGCAAGAAACCAAATTTTCCACATAAGAGCTGATGAATCCTAGTAAACAAGAAGAAGAAAACACCTTTTAAAAACTTTTCTTTATTAGATACAGCTTTGAATGAATCCCAAGTTCAATTTTTTAAGTTGATTGTTTAGCTGTAAGTAGAATAAATAGGGAAGAACAAATTTACAAAACCTCCAAAGATCCCAAACTGTAAACTGGGAAAGGAGGCTAATAATATTCTATTCCAACCAAACAAGATTAAATTTCTCCATTCTTAATTAGCTCAACCGAAACAAGAAACCAAACTATTTGTTCCCGGATAAAATTAAAGGAAAACCCAGAAAAATTACGGTGTACTGACTGATCCAAACATCAAATACATATATTTGACCAAATTTAGATATTAGAGAATTACCAGTAAAGCTTGAGGATAAAGCAGTCAAGACACAGAATTAGCCTTACCCCAAATAGATTACCAACTGCACTCCGTTGCTCTCGTATACAAGGGTTCCAGCTCCTCCGGTGGAGGAGGTCAGCGGCGGAAGAGAGGCTG